ACACCACTCACAGGCCTAAAATGAACTGACTTCCCTGGTCACTAACCCTGATAGCCATGACCTGTAGCAGCTCCTTCTCCCAAGGATCCTCCGTGATCTCTCTGTCAGTGATGTTTGCCCCCATGAGCTCCAGGAAAAGCCAAAGAATGATCCACTAAGTGGAAGAACTGAAGCTTCGTGATAGTCAGGGCAAATCAGGGTGAGGATAAGAGCTTGACCCCCTTGGACCACTTAGCATGGCCATCTGGTGGCTTCTTATTTTCTGTCTGCACACTGGGTGTACAACGTTGGATAAAGCATGACCCTTAATCCAGGGTGTTTTTCACTCTTGGTCCACACAGGGCCCATTGATAACTCACTAGCTAATTAGTGGGGTGAACAATGTAGTGAGCCTTCATAAACCCCAACAAATCCTAGGACTTAAGTAATGACCTTTCTCTAATCCCAAGAGCCCGCTTCCTCTCTCAAATGCCCAGCCATCCCCCAGTGAGGTAGGTGGAAAGGTCTCTTTTCCTCTTTCATCCAACTACTAGTGACTGCCCATCTCACACAGGCAGCAGCTGTGCCAGCTGCACTCTGCCAAAGCTGCCCCATCACTCTGTGCCCCCATGCGCTGCTCCCTTGCTCTTCTCTAAATGCTTCTGGACTGTGTATGATCTGCCGGGGCCTTTTATCATTGATGTTAGACTGCTAACACCACCCATCTTACTTTATATCACTGCAGTTCATTTCTTCTGACAGCAGTCTACCATTCCATCTCGCATACTGGGTGCCACAGTCAGCTTCTGAGAGACTGGCCTGGGATTCAGTCCTAAAACTGAGACTCATCGATTTGTCTTCTTCACTTTATTTCTTCCTTCATGTCTATCTTTCTCTTCCTTTCTATCTGTTTTCAAGACCAGGTTTTGCTGTGTGATCAAGGCCGGCCTCAACCTGCAGTCCTCCTGCCTCAGCTTCTAATAGCTGGGACCACAGGCACACAAAGTGGTACCCAGCTCATTAATTTTTTGTTCAATAAATATTTATTCATGCTTACTAAGTGAAGATAGCATCATGTAATGCAGCAACTATTGTTGAATAGCTATTACTTTGTTTAGTGAAATCTTACATCATTTCTAATGCTGTTTTTTTTTCTATTACTATTTTGTATTCTTTAAAAATAAAAAAAATAAATGTGGGGCTGGTGAGATGGCTCAGTGGTCTAAAGCACCTACTTAGAACAAGCTTAGCAAAGCACAGGGACCGCGGTTCAATACCCCAGCACCACATGCCAGTCAGCCCCGCCCCCTGGTGGACCAAGGTGGCCACACACACACACACACATACACACACACACATAAATAAATAAAATTTTTAAAAAAATAAAATAAATGTGGGACATTGTAGGGGATATCAGGAAAACAGGAGTTAACTGTAGTTTCAGCTTATCGTATTTATTTGGTTCACGCTTTTTCTTTCTCACTTTGGTTTGCAGTTGAGGGTGAATTATTTGCTACAATCTCTGCTCTGGGACAACAGCTGGAAGCATTAGCCATGGTGGGCTCTGGGTTGCTTCAGCTCAGTTCAGGATGAGGAGCCAAGGCCAGGCAAAGTGCAGACTGTACACTTTTCCCTCTGTACCTCAGCTTCTACTTCAAATCCTTGCTCATAAAAGGGTGCAGTCAATGTTTACTGAACACACAATAAACAAAAGCAATCTGCCCTATGTTCCTCAACCCATGCATGTGCAGGTAGACCCAATGAAGAAGGATGAGTTGATGGGAAAGGGTGCTGCATGGATGTTCTCAGTGTCCCGCCAGTCTTTCTTCCAGCCTCCCCACATTCTTACCTGCTTAACCAAAACCCCAGGGCATCCCATCCACAGCAAGGCCCCTCGCCTTTACCTGCAGACACCAGCCTCTTTCCTTCTCCTGTCCTCCCCTCACTGTAACCATGCCAATCTCTTGCAGTTTCTCCTATGCCCCAAGCTTGTTCCAGCCTAGTTAGTCCTTCCTGCTGTTAGAATCCCAGCTCAGGTGTTACCTCTCCAGGAGACACTCCTTACCCACCCTTCCCCAGACATGCCCATTGGAAATCTCCATCCAAGCACTGCCTCTCTCCCCACTTTGCTCTCTGATAGCTCCTAACAGGCTCTGGTCATTTCTGGCTACCTGTGTATCTCCGTCCTCCCTGGGCTGATGTCTCCTCCCAGAGATGCAGCCCTTGCTGTCTCCTTTGGGAGTCTCTCCTGCCCTGATGAAGGAGTGTTTATCAGTTCTGATTCCATAGCCCCTGGAGGAGCATCTAGAACAATATAGACTTTCCACTAACCTCTATTTAGTTTGATATGACTTAATGCTACTCATCCTGGTTATAAGATACTTCATATCAGCCCTTTCTACCCTTGAATTGGCTGAGTTAGATGAAAAGATTTTGTAAGCTATTACATGCCAGCCATACACAAATTGTTGGTAGTATTATTACCTGACTCTCTGGCCACAACGAGGCAGGCTTACCCAATCCGTTCTCATCTTTATCCTGGAAATTGTCCCCTCCATCTAGCCCCAGTGAATACAGAGGAGAGGGGAGCTACAGTGTAGAGCCCCGAGATCAATTCCATTCAAGTCATTAATGGAGTCTTTACGAGGAACAAGCCTCATGCTGAACATGAAGGATGTGAAGCAATAAGAAAGAGTAACCAAGGCAATTATTGTCAATTTAAAATTTTAATTTAAAAAGAGAAATCAGAGAGAGAGAGAAGAAAGAAGAAACAGTGATTATCTGACAAGAGCAGGACTGTGATAGAGAAATGCTGAATGCCACGGATGCAGAGAGAGTGGAGGGCACCAGGAAGGAAGCTGCGTGGGCCAGCCTGGCACTTCCCCCAGGTGGCTCACTGAACCCTCATGGTAGCCCTTCAAAGGCAGTACTCTTCTCCCCACCTTACCGAGGCGCAGCACAAGGCCCAGAGAGCTCCAGGCTCTTGCCCAAAGCACACAGCTAATAGCATGCAGAGCTTGTGTTCCCATTCAGCCTCTGCAGACAGCAGCACCTGGCTGGATGTTGCACCAGCCAGTCAAGACTTTACGCAGAGTGTGCATCTGCTTTGTCTTTGGCCACCACCAGGGTACCATGACCTCTGCACAAAGGATCAGACAAGACTCTGGGTAGACACTTAGACCTCAACAGAGCCCAGAGATTCCATACCCCAAGACAGACTGGGAAAGGGAAGGAGCAGGAAAACTACCAGGAGGTAGGAGAAAGAGAGGGAAGGGCTCAGAGGGCAGGAACCTGGGCGTCATCCTTTGACCTTTGTCCAGCAGTAAATGGGACATGCGCACTTTGCAAGTGAGCCTTTGTAAGAGTATGCACTCGGTGCACATGCAAAGTGGTGTGAGCAAGCGCAAAGCAGTACCTGGCCTCATATTTGTGCGCGTGTGTTGACAGCCTAAGGCCACACTCCCAGAAGCGCCATTACGCATTCTGATAGTTCTTGTTTTTGTTCATTCCATCAGGTATGACATCCGTTAGGCAAAACACTAAAATCAAAAGTAAATCTCTCAATGAGATTTGACACATATAAACATAACAGGTAGCCAACACTCAAAACAAGATCTAGAAGCGTCTCATCATTCCAGAAGACTCTAAGGTGCTCCTTCCAATAACCACCCCTCGCTTCCAGTTATAACTAGTATCCTGACTGTTATCACCCCTTAAACTTTGACTTCACCACTTAAGCCTCAGCCCAGTAGAATCACGCATTATATACCTTTGTGTCAAGTTTCTTTTCTTCATCGCCATATGTATGAATTTCTTCCAGGTCACTGCATTTAGTACTAATGAACTCTCGTCTGTTGCTATAATTCTATAAATTACACAAATAGACTACATTTTATTTACTGTACTGATAATTGACATTGGGGTTTTTCTGATGTTCAGCTATACGAATGAAGCTACTGTAAACATTTATGCACGAGTGTTTTGCTAGATATATTCACTCATTTCTTTTGGCTATAGCCTGGATCAGAATTTTGGGTCAATAAATCATATAAAAACCATATATTTTGCATTATAGATTTAACCAAACCAATTTTCAAAGTATTTGTGTGAATTTATGTTCCACAAACAGTGTATGAAATTTCCAGTTTCTCCACACCCTCATCAACACGTAATATTGTCAGCTTTTTTAATTTTAACTATTCTGATGTCTATGCAGAGGTATTTCACTATAGTTTAAATTTTCATTTGCCATATATGTAGTGACACTGAGCATCTTTAGATACTTATTAGCCTTTTTTTGTATTTTAGGGAAGGGTCTACAGGGTGTTCAGGGTCTCACTACTAGATCAGACTCGTAGTGATCTGCCTGTTTACAGCTTCCCAAGAGCTGGGATTACAGGCGCACGCCACCATGCCCAGTCTCAATTGCCATCTGTTTCAGCACGCCCTGGGTGCAGGGCCAGTGTGGCAGACCCAGAGATCGAACCCCCAGCCCCTGCACCTGTTTACAGAGCGCTTTAATCCACTGAGCTATTTGGCCAGCCATTATTTTTTTTGAGACAGGGTCTCACTATGCAGTTCAGGCTAGACTTGAACTCACTTTGTAGCCCAGGCTGGCCTCAAACTCCCAGAGACCTTCCTGCCTCAGCCTCTCAAGTGATGGGATTTATCAGCCACTTGTAAAGTATCTGTTCAAGTTTTCACAGAAATATACTATCCCTGCAACTAGACAAACTGCTGATAAAAAGACAGGGCAGAATTATTTGAGAAATTCATCAATACACACAATAATTAGCAACTAGTTGTTTCAATAATTGCTAACTAATTGCTACAATTAGTAAACTAGTTAGGCCAGGTCAAATAGGTGCATGAATAAATTTTTATCTTGAGTCAATTCTGTAACTGTCACAGAAATCCCCACTTAGATTTGGCAGGGTAAAGAGCATACACACAAGAACCAAGGATTTCCTGTAGGCTGTTAGAGGTTCCCTCACTCAACTGCTGTTTCTCTTTCATTACAGGACCCTGACAGTGACCACCCCTTGAACAGTGTTGGTAAGCTCATGAAGCTTTTTCCTCTGTCTCTTTCAGTCTCTGAGTTTGAGTTGCCAGATAGACACTGAGCTATTCTCACGTGACCCTCACAACCTTCTACCATGTGCCAAATGGTGTAGGTGACATCCAGATCTTAGCCATCCATCATTCAATAAGTACTAAGTAATTATAAGATGCAGGATTCAGTCAAGAAGTGGGAGGCCTTCATGGAGATAGCTCAGTGGCCTAAGTGTCTGTCTAGGCAAGTCCAAGGACTCAAGTTCAATCTCCAATACTGCATGCTGTGCCGGCCCCTCCCCAGGCGCACTGTGCCTGCCACCAAGACCGGGCGTGGTGCTGCACGCCTATAATCCCAGTGCCGGAGAGGCTCAAACAGGAGGATCACTACAAGTCTGAGCTGCATAGTGAGACCCTGTACCAACTACATAAAGTTAAAAAAGAAAAAAGTAGGAGACCTAGTCTCTGGGGCAACAAGATTAAGGAACTTAAAACTCCAAAAGCAAAGGTTCCCCAGTTCCATTATTGTACCAGGGCCTGGCCTGCTGCTGGGTCCGGGCAGTAAGACAATCAGCTCTCGTGGGGCTCACAGGCAATCCATGCTGCCAAGAAATAAGCTGGTCAATGTTTTCAGTGGTCGGAGAGAGAAATGACAGATTTGCCTCTTTTAGGATAGAAAAATAAGCTAACAAATAGAATATTCCCAAATGTAGGTGTTACATTTGGCTACATCTCAGGATCTGCCTTATTAGACTTATAGGGCAGATAAATCATAGAATAATCATACATTTTGCATTAGTAGATTTAACCAAACTATTTTGTAAAGTACTTGTATGAATGAATTCACATTCCCACTAACAGGGTATGTTACGTTTTCTTAAACCACTGATATCTATTCTTGGCATAGCTTACTGGATCAGCAAAACAAGCAAAGCACAAATTTATATGGTCAGATCAATATGAAAATGGTTTCCTGCTTTACCTTGGTCTTAACCATCCAGCAGAAAAGTATGAAGACGAAATTATAAGAAATAAAGCCATGCTGTTAAGTTGAGCTGTGGGGGACTCAGGTCAATAATTTCTGACATTGCCAGTTAAACAGA